ATTAATCTTTTGTCTAATATAGATGAAAGTTATTCAGAATTAATATTTAATAATGTAATTAATTATAGGTTATCAATTCATGAACATTAAGTTGTACATAGGATAAAGATACAATGGCTACATTTCCATTGACAAAAGTAGAATTACAAACTGATGTATACATGGTATGCTTACAGCATGCTTTATCAACAGAAAGATTTGAAGTAATGGGTCTACTAATTGGGGATGTATGTTCATGACTATATTTGTTATTCAATCTAATCTTATATGTTCTTTGTACATGTAAAAAGATATCTATCGCTTCATTAATAATTTATGTTAGACAGAATTTGGTGTTGCAAAAATTGTAGCAGTTATTATTTTAAGACGTTTGGATAAACAGAAAGACAGGGTAGAAATTTCACCTGAACAGTTACTAAAAGCTGTTGCTGAAGCAGATCGGTTAAGGGAAGAATTAAAACGACCTGTGCATGTTCTGGGATGGTACCATTCTCATCCTCACATTACAGTTTGTCCATCACATCTTGGTTAGTATAAAAATTGTTTTATATCATTGAAAATATAAATTATAGTTAAAAATAGTACTTTACTGTAACAAATATTTTTTTAGATGTTAGAACTCAAACAACTTACCAGATAATGGACAATGGTTTTGTGGGTTTAATATTTTCAGTATTTTCAGAAAGCAAAGAATCTAAGGTAAATGAAAAATAACTAATTCTAATACTTTTACATTTTCACATTTTCTAAAGTAAGCTGTTTATAGGAACAAGAGATTTCTTTAACTTGTTTTCAATCTCACAATGAGAAAGCAACAGAAATTCCATTAGAAATAGTACACACACCAATAATATCAAATACATGTTTAAAAGTAAGGTTCTTAAATAACATGTGTTTAATTAGTTTCACGTATAATTGCATTTCAGTTACAATTATTTAATTGGTATATATTTTGTAGACAATGACAGATTTGTTAAAAATATTGGTGCAAGAAGAAGAAGAAATGGCAGAAACATACAAAGATCATCAGGATATTCTTGCCAGCATACATAATAATGCTGGTTGGTTTATTTATTTTGGTATTTAGTAATTTTATTTGCTATGAACAGAAAATGATTTTCACTATTAATTACAGTAAGAACACGGACATTGGTTCACATAACGGATATAATTACTAAGCCTTTGGTACTGACATTTGAGAAAAGGATAGCTTTAAATAAATTACGCGCTGCGTATCTTCGGAGACAACTACAAGAATTACAAAAAGTGTGCAGTGGATGAAAGTTTTTGTTGGGATTCGAAACAATGTTTCTCCATTTTCTTGGATGTTATATGTCATAGGTATAAATACATTAAGTTCAGTATTTTTTTACTCTATAACAATAAATTCTCACTTAGTTTTCATACTATTTATTATTATGGAAGGTGAAACCAAATTCTGTATACAAAGTGTAGAGTTACTTAAATAATAAAACATCATTAATTTTTTCTCTTGTTGATTTTAATGACATTCTGTTAAACCAAATGAAAAACAAACAAATGAACCTTTCAGTGATTATTTTTATTTTACCTTTCACGAACAAAGATCTGGCAATACTTGCACAGTTCTATATTTACACTACGAGAACAACAGTGTATTTAAATAGACTTAAATGTATTCAAAACACGGATTCTGCAGAACGAGAAAGATGTATAGGATGAGAAGGACTACGTGCTAACCTTTTGCGAGGCAGCTTTTCCAGAGTAGTTAACAATTTTGCAAAGTCGGGCCGATTTTCTGCATGGTATGACCAACAAAGCATTAAGATATCCTACAAACATAAAAAAATCGATACTAAACATATATAAAAATCTTATGGACCTTAAAAAAAAAGTTGAAAAAAATAATTATGCTTTATACCTTTACATCACGAGAGGCTTGCAAATTAGCTAAGGTTTGCTTCATTCCTTTGCCAACTTGCCAAATGATTGCCTCAGGAGGTTGTCCTTTAAATGGCCATTCTCCACATAAAAGCTCATACCATACGGTCCTATGGTAATTGTAAAATGAGTTTGAAGGTAGTTTCATATTTTAACGCTATATTTTATTTCAGTTTTTTACACTAACCCAAATGCATAAACATCAGAAGCTTCTGTAAAGGGTAATTCTTCCTGATCCCGATTTTGTTGTGGTCTCAGTCGTCGAACAATTTCAGGAGCTAAATAACATAACCAGCCAGGTGGTATACTTAGTGCATTTCCTTTTCTGTTAATAATAGAAAACAATAAGTATAAAATTACGACCCGAGTTTGCATCAGATATGACATTAAATGTAAAATCTACCTATTTCCATAACAAAGCTTCGTAACACTGAACAAGCCGAAATCAGTTATTACAACTTTTCCGTTCTCTAAAAATATGTTTTTGCTCTTGAGATCTTTATGAATTATACCACGAGCATGAAGATATCCCATTCCCTAAATAAAAATAATCTCGTGAACATTTTCTTTGCATTAAAATCTATTAAAAAATTAAGATTCGTTCAATACTTTTTTTTTTTGTATGCTTATACCTGAGAAATCTGTTGAGCGATGATAGTGGTTTTATTCATATTAAATTTATCTTTACGTAAATGAATGTGAGTGTAAAGAGTCATGCCTTTGCTCATACTAGTCACTATCGCCAAGCGCGGAGGCTTCATGCAAGCTCCCATAAATAAAACTAGATTCTCGTGTCTAGTTTTTCGGAATGTAGCCACCTATAAATTTCAATGTAATATAATTTTAATAATGAACGTCATTGAATTTTAATGGATAGTATTAAAAGAGTAATTATTTTACAATAAATTGCAATTTCATGCTTTATCAATTAATTTTCATGTCAATGATTATTTGTAAAATAATAGAAACCCAATGTTTGCATTTTAAAGAAGTATAGTAACTGTATTAACATTAGACAGTAATTACATGCGATTATTACTAATTTTAGGTTAATTATTACTATTTTTGTGCAAATAAATAGGCGTTAGAATAAGCAATCTTTCTAGCGGAATATCCTACAAGTAAATACAAAAGTTTACAAGTTTCGAAATTATATTGAATTATATTAGTAAAAGCACTCGAATTACGAAAAGTATATTCAATTATACGTACCTCTAACTTGAACGCTTCCAACGTTTTATCATCGTCTAAATAATAGTCCATATTTAGGACTTTAATTGCAACATTACCATGCCAATAGCCTCTATAAACTGTACCAAATCTTCCAGTACCTATAGGTTCTCCAATTTTTAATTCATCATAAGGAATGTCCCATTCTCGCATGGATAACTGTAATATTAAATTAATTTAGATATAAAAATATCGGGTAAATATTACATTAAAATTACGTACACTATTCTGTCGTGGCCAACGACTATCTCCTGGTTCTCCATCAGAGACTTGAGAATCTTGAGAATCAACTCTAACCGGTGTTCGTTCTGAATCGGTGCTAACGCTACCAGATCCCGAAACGCTCACTGTTCTTTCACTATCACTTGACATGATACCTTCGAGTCGATGAGTCTCTAATGTAACACCTTTATCATTGAGCACAACATCTGGAAACAAGGTATGATAGATTGTCATTTTACAAACGTCTCATTAAATAAGTACCTGGAAAATGGAACTGTTGTTTGGCAGGTGCTTGTGGGGTTTGGCTAGTATTGGCAGGTAGCAAAGCTGGACTAGAAGGCGTTGAGCTATTACAGCTCGAGGTATTTGAACTAGAATCCGCGCCCTAATAAATGCAAGTTTGTAATTCATTAAGTATATTTAATTTTTAATACGAAAAAATAAAATTGAAAGCATAATTAAAGTACCTGAAAAGGTGTATTCATAGAAGAATGTGGATGCGATCGTTTTCGATCCCTTCGGTTTAAAGAGCTCAATAAATTTGAATTGTGGTGATTGGGAGATGTTATACCAGGCTTGTTTAATATTGGAGAAACATTTACCATACCTAACAATTTTAATTTTACTTAAAATTAATAATAGGAATTTGTGAATACCGACAAAGTTTGATTTAAGAAATCATATGTACATACCGTCACCTTGTACACTTCTTTTAAACTCGTCGAAGAGTTCCTGAGGTAGGCCACAAGACGGTGGTACTTTGGATTCACAATCTCGGTGACATTTATATTTACATTCTTTGCATTTCAAACCAGTGCCCATAAACATCTGCTTATCGCAATAGTCGCACGTTGTCATCATTTTAAACGTTTTGGTAAAGCGGTGAGCAATTATATGGCCCATTCCCCGGGTTACAGTCGGAGTACGCGGTGACTTTGGCACTTGGAGACTTGTTACTGTGAAAAAATAAAAGAATTACAATTTCTCATACATTGTCGTCCGAAACATAAAATGTCTTAAATAATAAGTTGTGTTTACCTGTTCCCTTAAAACTGTTATCATCGCTTTCTGCACTAGAATAAGGTGGTGACTTAATAGGACTATTACTATTCAGCAAGAGAGTTTCCGCTGTAATGTCAGCAGTACTACTGCATGATCCTGACTCTGTAGGTAGACGATTTCTTCTTCCCACAGAACCATCATTCCCACAACTATGGAAATAATAAAAAAGAGTATTTAATATTGATTTTTAATTAAAAAAAATGACTAAGAACTAATTTATTACCTTGAAGCTGTATCCCCATTTTCAAGACGGTTTGCTAATTGTGATTCATGAGATTTTGACTTAGTTAAAGGAAACACTTCTGGTTGTGATATTGTATTTTGTAAACCTATTTGATGCTTTTTACAAGGAGGAGGAGTTGTTGGAAATTTAATTCCTGTTGTTAAAAAGTAAAATTTCACACAATTGTATCACATTATGGAAGAAATTAATATAACAAATAAAGAAGGGTTATAATTATAACTTACCACGTCCTGGTCTTTGTAAAAGAGGGGTGGAAGGAGGACTAGTTGAAGATAAAGATGTAACGGAAGAAGCTTGTGCTAATATATCACTGTTAAGATTGTTGTTATTATGATATGGAATGCTGTCTTCTGAAGGAACAGAGCATCTTGTCGTACGGGATCTTGCTGGCCTAGGAGATGCTCCAGTACGTAAATGGTGTCTATCCCAAGAATCCCAATACAAATTCATATCACTGTTATCCATATCTCCTCTTAGGAGAACATCTAAATAAAATACAGTATTGTGTAAAATTTGCACCTCAATATATATTTAGAACAATAAACATGTTAAACATTATAAATGTAAATGAATTACCCATATATCGACGAAGATTGTGCAATGCCCTACAGAGCCTACGTAGTTCTTCCTCATGTTTAATATTATTTTCTCCTAACATACTACCTAACTCATGCTCAGATTTCTCTTTGAGAGCTTCAAGTGAGTTAGCTTTAGAACAGATCATCTAAAATTTATTATCAATATATATATTTAAAATTCAAAAAGTCCACATAAAAATAAGAAAAAATCATTGTCAAAATATTATTTGTACCTGTATAGACTCTTGAGTAAGTCCCACTACCCTTAGCCATTGCTGCAAAGATGGATATTGTTTCATCTCTGCAGGCAATGTTTCTTCTAAAGCCAATTTGGCTTTGGTTACAAGTTGTCTTGAATATAATTTGATAAGTTTCCCCTAAAATGGATTTCAGTCACATGAATAACAAGAATACATAAAAAATGTGAAATTTATATTCTTAATGTGAAGTTAAATTATTCTTGTATATTTAATAGAAATTTATAATTATTGAAAATACAACTTAATCATTTATGTAACAATAACTTTTATTATAAGGATTGAAAAATTATTAACAAAATGAAACAAGTTTCTGCAGTATTCTAAAGGACAAAAGAGATCCTAAAAGATGCAAGGTATACTTCCTTGAATACAAAGCAAAAGTATATTAACAACAATAAATGATGATAAATGATCACAATTATAGAAAAAAATATAGAAAAGTTTGCGTGCACGAATTGTCAACACGTATGCAGACACAAGCAACGAGTTGATAAAGGTACGCATTTGCAACTTGTTGACAACCATGAAGCAACCCTTCACGAGGTCAAGGCGACCGTGTTGAAGGTAATAAAAGGAAAAACAGGGAAGGATGAAAAGGGCTGCATGTCCTTCGAGGTACCTCGAGCGTTCGAATTTCTTGTTGAGTGAGTTCCGCACTGGTGGAACATTGGGTCCTCAAGCCTTCCAGTCGATCAGCGGAGATGTCAATCATGGATTGAACGACATCTAAGGCTCGACGGATTTCTTGTTCCGCATCTTCGCTGTCCGCCATCCCGCGCCACGATGACGGCCCCTTCGTTTCGTCCTACGCAAATCTGATTCCTATTTCACAGGCATAATTTCGCTCGCATGAGGCTCCTATCGGTCGCGGCTCTATCACTGACTCTCCGTGTAACCAAACCACTTATCAACATTGACAACCATCTTGGCCGCCTATCGGTGACGTCAATCGGTGTCCGACAATCCGGGATCTCAGCGCGTTCATTCGAGCGACACTGTCGTGTTCGCAAAACTGCTTTCCTCCATTGCGATACTATTCAAAAATTCGTCCCTACCATGGTCCCATTGATTTCTCTAAAGTTACATTTGAAAAATTGATTCTTAACATGTATAAAAAGTACTGTATCCTTATAAAATTTATCTTGTCCTTATGTTTTCCTTTATCTAGTGTCAACTGGGGGAGTTTTTTGACAGTATAACGATTAATGCGTAATTATATTGTGTAAGTTACTTAGAATAAACCGTTCGCGAATAATTTCACTTTAATGTGTAAAAAATAGTGCTCAGTGTATTTATTTTAAAGCATACACGAACAGAAATTGGTCTGGTTCAAAATGAAGCTAAATTACATAGTTTTGCGAACGTTCAACTGATAAAGCATATATAAACGCCACTTGCAACATCTCCTTCCGTCACTTTATGCATTCAATATGATATTTGAGGTTTCTTATCTAGCTGTCTTGCCCGGTCGATGAATGATCAGATTCATTCGTTGCTTATTCGTTTCGGTGTCATGTGTTCGTTAGGAGAAATTCCGTGTTGTGCGTACAAGTCGTGGAACTTATAATAATTGCTGGTGTTGTATGTAGCGTTAACGAGACTTTATAGAAATGGTGAATATAGACACGATACAAAAAAATTATCCGCTGCATTGGCTTGTGTGGAATAACAATAATGTAGAACTCGAGGAGGAATTATCTACGAAGCTGGTTGGTAAAATTAAAAAAAAAGTGTCATTCGATTATTAATCACGTTTAATATTATCGTAAGCCGTACTTGTGATTAAACAGATGGTGACAATAAAGGCACGAGTATCGACTATTCATCAGTTGTTTTTTTTTTTCTACGAAATGCATACGCGACAGATGACAATTTGTTTGCATTTCATGTAAGGCATGAATACTTGACTTATAACAGTGATAAAGAAACAAATATTTATACATACATACATATATATATATATATATATATATTCATATACATATAAACGATTAAAATATTTTTATTGATATTTTAAATAATATTTTGTGTGTATGATTTGGTCATAGAGTATAATATAAACTTTGTTTTTTAATCATTCTTTAATTATATTTCATAGTATCAATGCTGTGTCATAAATGAATGATCAATTATTGCATTAATGAAATTAATTACTCATGATAATATTGATCTAAGGAAATCATTTGATACACTGTCAGTCAACATCATGAGTGAAGCCTTGTATGAGTTAGAAACCATATATGTACACTGACTTTGTAACTTTTGATATTGTCAATTGAATTGATCGATCTGATATAAGCTTATGAAAGAGTTATAATACTAACTACTAATGTTGACAACTGTTAATATCACTTATAATCAGAAATCTAAAAGGGCTTTTATTATTCATCTATATGCATAGTCTTATATTCTTTAAACATTTTAATAATTAGTGAATAGCATTTATATATATCATCATATAAAGCAATAATAAAGTAATAATAAACATATTAAAGTAACAATATTTATATAGCATGATGTTGAAAAACCGGATAACAGAGGAAGAACACCATTGATGCTAGCTGTGACTTTGGGTCATTCTGAATCTGTAGGAGTATTGTTGCAACATGAAGCTAATGTCAATACAGAGAATACTCAAGGATGGACTGGTAATAATCATGTAATTTTGTCCATTAAGTTTTCAAATAAGTAAGTATTAAAATATTAATTTTGTTATTTTTATAGTGGTTCAAGAGGCAGTTGGCACAGGAAATCCAGAGCTGATACAGATGGTGCTAGCACATAGGGATTATCAAAGATATTGTAATAGGGTAGCTGGTATCCCAGAATTGCTTCATAAACTTAAACAAGTAAGTTTATTAAGATAGAATGAAAAATATAATGATATCTTGATAAATATAAAGTAACATGAAATGATGTTTCCAGGCTCCTGACTTTTATGTAGAAATGAAATGGGAGTTTGCTAGTTGGGGTAACTATAAAGCATATAATTTTCTTATTGTTATCCATTAAAAACATTAAACTAACATTTTATCTATTATTAGTTCCTCTTGCCTCTAGAATATGTCCTAGTGACACTTACAAAGTATACAAACAAGGCAGCAATGTGAGAATCGATACAACTTTATTAGGATTTGATCATGCAAAGTGGCAACGCGGAAATCGTAGTTATGTTTTTAAGGGACAAAGTGAGTATTTGAGCATAGCTTTTTGCATGAACATTAACATTTGTTAAGTTCATTTTAACCTTCAGGTTTTTTGTGCGTTTTTCTTTTTACATTAAGAGTAGAATCTTTTATTTATTCTTTAATTGTATATATTAAATGCAAGCTGCATCACATGTACCTGTGGCAATTAGATGTGAACGGAGTTATGTGTTCAGTATGGTGGGACAAGAGTCAGGTGACGGAATTATTTTTAAAATTAATGTGGTGTGCAGGATTGTAGAGAAATATAATATCTTCAATTTCTATGATGTAGAGAAAAGTTTCCTTATATGTTTGTTATATACATTTACTTTATTTCTGTTTGTTATTGTTTCAATTATCTTAAAAAAAGTTGATGTTACAAATTGAAATTTTTTATGGTAAGTGTATTCTAGGTATTACAATAAAAGTAATTTAAATACATAATGTATAATGTTCTTAAGTAGTTGAATACACATAAATATAAAATATTTAAAAAGTAATAATTAGAATTGTTGTAAGTAGTAGTCGGAAACTACCAAATTAAGTTTTATATTGTAGAGCAAAGTGAAAATTTATTTTGATAAATCTTTCGTAAAATACGATCTTCATAATAAAAAAAAAATAAAATAAAATTTATTCATACAGATGATGGAGCAATGATGATGGAAGTAGACCATGAAACAAGAAAAGTATATGTTGAGCATATTAAGCTCATAGATATTGATGACATACAATTAATGGAGCCCTCCGAGGAAGGTGTATTAGCTCGGCTCACAAATCCGATAGTTACTACGTATATAGATACGGATAAAATTAGTTTTGAACGGTAATTACGCATCCTAGTTTATTAACCTTATCACATTCACACATGCTCATGTAAAATTAATTATGTTTAACTAGGAATAAAGCTGGTTTATGGGGTTGGCGTTCTGATAAAAGTGAAGTCGTCAACGGACATGAGTGTAAAGTGTTTAGTGCATGTAATGTAGAATTAATAACAAAAACTCGATTAGAACATTTATCGGAGCCCGACAAAGCACGAGCTCGTGCTCCTCGTACTGCTCTTCAGTCATTTTTGGGTATGGCGGAACAGCAGCAAGAGAACAGTAATAATGCAACTACTAGTGTAATTATTTTTTTCTAAACCTCTTATTACATACTAATATATAATTGCAGCAAAGATCATTTACTATTCGTTTTAGGAAGAATATAGCAATATTGGGAACCCTTCTAATATAACAGCTGAAGAATATTTTGATCCAGATGTTGATTTAAACGGAAGAGATATAGGTAGACCAAAAGAAGTTAACACAAAAATTCAAAAATTTAAGGTATTACAATTAAATATTATACTGAAATAACAATTTTATGCAACATGAGTATTATGAAATGTAAAATTACAGGCAACTTTATGGCTTAGTGAACAATATCCGCTAAGTCTTCAAGAACAGATTATGCCAATCGTCGATCTTATGGCGATATCTAGTTCACATTTTGCAAAATTAAAGGATTTTATTCAAATGCAATTACCAGCTGGATTTCCTGTTAAAATTGGTACGTTTTTAATTTCGTGTTTTAATGTAAATCTTGTAAACGTGCGGCTAATACCATTTTCTTTATAGAAATTCCCTTGTTTCATATATTAAATGCAAGAATAACATTTGGAAATATTTTTGGAATGGATCAAGAAGTACCACATGTAGGGCATTTACAAGAAACTAATAGGATGACTTGTTTAGTTGATGATGTTTGTTTCGAAGCACCAACGGGATATGTAAAACTGGGTAAGTTTAATATTTATATAAGGAGAATATTGAAGAAAAATATTTAGAGTATATTGGATTAAAAATTTAGGTGAAAAAGTTTTTATTGTATTATATAACATATTTAATAGGTGCTGAAGTTCGGACACAATTTAGTATGGAGGAAGAAGATGATCTATTACAATTTGCCATTCAGCAAAGTTTGTTGGAAGTTGGCAGTGACCGCGATGAGGTATAAATATTTAAAGTTCTTTATGGTAACAAAAGTTTCAATGTAAAGGAATTTAATACTATAATTTATATTATAAAGGTCGATATATGGGAAGCTTTAAGAGCCCAAAAACCATCTCGACCCACAACGCCCAATATGACAACGGAAGAAGAAAGGCAACTGCAGAGGTAAGAGAATATTTATAGAAATGCATATTTCGGATACTTCTCTTTTATTTTAAAAGTTCTAAACATTTTATTTTGCATGTGTTCTTGCTCAACAATTCAAATTCAGGAAGGTGGGTGAAGGATTGCTACAAATATTAGTTGCATAATAAATATTTTGACTAATAATATATATACATTTTTGCAGCAAGTGCAAGGAATTGCAGCAAATGTTAGAAAAAAAAATAAGTTTGTTTCGTTTACCTAGATATTTCGTTTTTTGTTAGTCATTTTTCGTACGTAATAACGTACATAGAATAATATGGTTATAGAATTTTCTTTTCAGTGAACAATGAATAAGTTTTTATCTTCATGTTTAATGCAGGGCTATTCAAGCAAGCTTGGCGTTGTGTCAAGACAGTACTGCTGGATGTGCGAGCGGTCGAAGTAATTCAAGTAAGACGAACGAAGTGGAAGACACTGAATCACTCGAAGATACGGCAGAGCAATTAAGACTGGCATTAAGACTTTCGGAACTACAACAGTTAGAGGAAGAACAGCGTCGATTGGTAGAAGAAGAAACATTTCGGCAAGTGCTGGAGTTATCTCTTACAGACAAGTGAACATTAAAACGTGCAATAGTCATTAAAAAATTTGATCGAATTATACTTCCACGACTACGTGAAATCTTCCAGCCGCGCGCAACCGCCGCGAGGCTGTCAAACACAAAATCATTTCCTACAATTCATAAAGTATGTTAAGAAGTAAACTTGTTGCTTGCAACAGACATTTGTATGTTATTTATTTCTTAGCTAAATTTTATATGAAAGAAAAGTATCGAGTAGTACGGAGGAACATGGTATATACGTAATATTCAGAAGTCTTGAAAATTACAATTGCTCTGACGAAAAAAGGTCAGAATATTTTTAACTCTCAGATCACATTCAAGTTGAATGATATCAATCAAATAGGAATAATGAAGTCTTGTTGAAAGTACGTACTGTAAGTTACGACTGTCAATATTTAAAATAAACAGCTTGTAATTCTCAAGCCTTCAACGATTATTCGTTTTGTCCTTTCTCCTAGTATTAGACACGCATCTCCAAAAATTTCTAGCATCAAAATTTAGGCATATATAACGGATTAATATTTTAATTAATGTTCTATGTAACAATTTACTAAAAACTGCCTCTCTTAATGTTCGGGCAATTAAAACTATTCCAAGTTCCTTTTTATACCCGTGATAAAATAATTGTAAGTAGCGGTTCGATTTATTAAGAAATAGCAGCAATGTAACGAAAGTGTATAATTTATTCCTTATAGTTTATTCATCGTAGGTGAGTAATTTCATTGAGACACTTAGTACAAATTAACTGTACGAAATAAACAAGGAGAAAGAAAGTCACCAATTAACTTATCAGTGTACCAACAATTTGTCGATAATCAAACATAATGGTATTACACATCATTACTCTGTAAAAAATGTTTATTCCAAAGATGAATTATTGCTTGTCACAATATTTCTTTAATACATGGAACTAATTGCTCCTAACAAAATGTAATTGCAGTACATTAATTACATTGTAATAAAAAGGTATATTTCTACAAGTAATATACACCAGGTATAATTATGTGTATAAAATAAAATGTGTTTAGAAAAACATGAAAACAATATTTATATGACATTCGAGCAGAGATTAATTTATTACCAATAGTTGACAATGATCAGTCTGCCAGTAATGGGCTACTCAAATTCGGATTGTGCCCTGAAATAGAAATAATGTTTTTATAATAAAATTATGTTTCACAGCATAAAATATAATCTCAGAAATATTTTTACATAATTCCATTTGTTTATCCATACAATTCCAAAGTCTTCATACAAACCTTTTAAATATAGTATTTAATATACTTGCACTCTGCACAAAACGTTGTTCATTCTTATGCGCTTGTTGATGCCATTTTTTGCGTACAGCGTTCCAATGTACTCTATGTTCTCTTAACAATGTTTCTCGCGATTTCACAATTTGTCCGTCCTAGGATGCATTATTACACATATTTATTATTACATAATTAATGATTATAGCATCACATTAGATGAATAAACTACAAAGATTTATCTGTAGAAGTATCTTACATAATCTAAATTCAATTCTTCCTTTTCCCTAGGTATTGGCGAAGGTATACGATTTCTAGGTATAGCTTCTTCACAGGGTAATGGAGGTGGCAAATAATAAACATCACGAACTTCTCCATTACTATCCAGTATATTATTCCTTATATTAACTTCATTTACTATTTCTGGACTTGGACTGCGTACTCTGAAGACAAAAATAATGGATTAATTATCTTTTTCTTAAACCACATTCAATTCTAAAATATGTGTAATGCAAAATTAAATGGTTCCTTCCACAGTATTTTAGGAATAATGTTACTTATAATTAAGTTAATGTTAGTATCAGTATGTGTGAAAATGTAATAGAATTAATAAAATAGCATAAGACTGTTATGTATGAAGATCAAAATGAATGAATAATATTTAAGTATTTACAACTTTACAACTGTTTTCTATTACTCACTTTGGTACAAGATTAGGATTCCTTGGTTGATTAGCCATCCATGCTCTGCATATGGGATAAAGTGGTGTGTCTTCTTGAAATTGTGCTAAATCAACACTTCTATCAAATAATTTCATTACATATGTATGGTGAAATGCAGTATCCATTTGTATTTGTCTACGACGTCGTACTTTACGTGGCTGTTGGAAACCCATTGATTTTGTTCTGTACATATTATCACTGAAAATAAAAATTCCTTATTAAGTAACAAAAAATTAATTTCATATATTTCAAGGATATTACATTTTTTTCACTTGATGTTTATAATCTTGAGCAGAACTCTCTTCACTTGAGTCTGCTGATGATCCTGTATCACTATGTTGTAACAATTCTCTAAGTGCTCCTTTCAAACGATCTCTTGCTACAAGTACATCACTGTCTCCTATAACAAAATATGTTTCAAGAAAGGAATCAAATCTTACTGTAATGAATTTATAATTACTATTACAATTATTAAATGTAAATAAAATATTTCTCATTACCTAATTCATCTTTTATCTCTACCTTTACCCTGCCAGGTACAGGTGCAGGTGATGATTGAATATTTCTTTTCTTTCCCATCTAAATTATGAAATAATTTAATTGTTATATTCATTATATCATACAAGTATTTGCAATACCATGTTTAACTTTTATAATATGTTAATCTGTCAAAAACATACCTTTTTTAACAAATTGAATTCATTTATACATTAAGTTAGACAGATTGTAATTTTATCCTAGATGTAAAACTTATACAGAACTATTATAGTAAAAAAAATATGATATATTAATGCAGATTAATTTACTAGCAAGCGTTATAGCATTGGATATTTCAAAGTACAAGGTTAGAACGTACACCACAACTTAATGTTAGAATCTTTCAATAAGAATGAAGACGAGATACTTTTTAATTATATTTTCCTTTCATTTTTCATTTTTTCTCAATAAAAGTTATGTCATGTTATTTGAATAATAAATGATTATTATAAACACACAAATCAAACATTCTTGAGAAACATCGTACGTTCAATGAAACGCGCTGATTTCTTTTTCGATGATACAGCATAGTTTACTATTGGATTATTCAATTTTTAATATTTTTTATTGGTATGCTTTAACTTTTAAATTTGTTTGACTTGATTTTCGTAACATTTGTTTATGTCTACGTTAATTAATGTGTTAGTTATTTAAATATTTTCTTATAATACAAGGTTAAATTACTTCAAGTAATTGTATGTAAATTTCTATTGAGAAGATTCGTAATAAGATTTATAACTTTTAAAAGCATAAAACAAAAAGAAAATGTTATTATAGTGTAACTTATTTTATAATTTGTTAATTTTACAGTATGTTATATTTTGGTAAACTTTGGATGTTTCAGACAGTTAAGAAATAAGAGGAAAATGCAATGGGCAATGAGTATTCAAATAGTTTTTGTTATAATTACAATAAATATGACACCTATCTTTGCACACAATTGTGTTTTATATAACAAAGATTACAGATGTAGGTTGGGAACAAAAACACCATATAGATTTATATCAAACCACAATGATTCTCCTTTAGAATATTCAGGTAATTTTTAGTTTCTGTAATAATAATAATAATATTGTTTTTCTTATTTAATATCAATAACAAATTTTTGTTAATGTCAATTATAGGTTGTGAGCCAAAAAAGATATGGTTAATTATAAGACATGGTACAAGATATCCTGGCAAAAAGTATATATCATCCATGATTGCAAAATTGCCACAATTCCAAAAAATTATTCTAGATAATTATGAAAGAAACAAAACAGATATTACAGAAGAAGATGCAGCTTTATTCAAACAGTGGAAAATCAGTTTTAACGTAGATGATATTATGAAATTGACAGAGGAGGGTGAAAATGAATTGATTGATCTTGGAGAAAGATATCAATCCAGATTTCCTACTCTTATGCCAGAAGTTTATGATAATCAGACTTACAGGGTAAGTCCACATATATTCTTTGTGTTTAATGCGTTTTCTTACTGTATTCATTAAGAAAGAATATTAATTTTCAGTTCAAATACACTGCCACTGAACGTACTCAAGAAAGTGCAAGGAACTTTGCTACTGGTTTATTTGGTAGATATAACAGTTATAAAGTTCAGTATCCAGAAGCAGAGCACAAGGATCCTGTATTAAGAGTAATTTAAAACCATATAACTCAATAATTAATTCATTTTCTGTTATTTAATCAGTTTATTTTAAGTTTCTAGTTTTATAAACGTTGTCAACGTTGGCGTTCCGAAGTGGACAAAAATCCGGAGGCGCAAATCGAGAAGGAAAAGTTTTTGAAGAGTCAAACTTACAAGAAGATGCTGGAAGACGTTTCAAAGCGTATTGGTTATCAGGTCGATCACGGTGAGTATATTTCAATTTACTTAATAATAATACGTAATAATAAAATGTATTTGGTATATGATAAATTTACATTTCAGAAATGATACGTTTGATGCATCTGATGTGTGGATTCGAAACCGCGTGGCACATCGATGTAGAGTCACCGTGGTGTAAACTATTCTCCTTGCATGACTTTAAAGTAAGTTTTTAAAATTTAATTGTTTTTGAAAAAATTGTAGTAAGTCCATATTTGGTTCAGTTTATAAACTTTAATCTACACCTTTTAGGTACTCGAGTTTGCCGAGGATTTGCAATATTATTGGATCGATGGATATGGCTACAAATTATCCTATGAACAAGCGTGCCCTGCTTTGAGAGATATGTTTGACTTTTTTCTGTAGGTGTCTATTTTTTCTATTTAAAACGTATGACAAACATTCAGCTGAAATGTATCTGGAATTTACAGATCAGTTGATACGCCACAGGTGTCGGCGTATTTTACTCATTCAGGCACCATTTTGAAGTTGCTGGCTTTATTAGGAGTTGCTAAGGACGATGAACATCTAACGCATGACTCATTTTCCTTATATGCAAATGACAGAGCCTGGAGAACTGGGATTATCGATAGTTTTGCATCAAACATCGCATTTGTCTTATATAAGTAATTATCTATTTGTGTATTGGATCTATAAGTATAGTACTATTATAATTTTTTTAATTTCAGCTGTTCTGGAGTTCCTAATGTTCTTTTTATGCATCAAGAAAGACCATTATATTTATCAGGTTGTCCTATGCACGTGCCATGTCCATTGTCCATTATGAAAGCACTCTATCCTGATCAAGAAGAAGAATGTCAATTCGAAACAATGTGTTCAATGGACGAATGGTAATACAAAGTTAATTTGTATTATAATTTATTAGTTCTCAAATTGCAGATCAAAAATTATACTGTGTATATATATTTTTTAATAGTTTGATGGATTTAAGCTGAATAAAAACGAGTTAAAGGAACGTTTCATTCTTATGTTTCTGTATGAACATTAATTCGTTGTATTTCAGTAATAACGCTCCTCGTTTATGTATGTTTATCATGCTGTTTTGTCGTTGAAAAAATGTTCAATTGTTTTGGAAAACTATTTACAGTCCAATTCACGGGGGGAAATTGAAATACTGCTATTTCAGAGAAAAAAAAATGAAATATTTATCCCTGTTAACCCGCATAATAATGACAGGCATAAAGTGTGTTCGGTCGTTTCGGATCTTTAATGGAACAGTAAATGGAGAGTTAAACGAACGTTGGTTAATGCCAGAAAGCATTTAATGTAATGGTTAATTCGAACTGTTCCGCTGGCGAAACTGATTGGGTATCGGTCGTAAAAAATTAATCGAATCTGGCCGCGTCGGGTGTGGTGACTACGTGATGCAATTCCATTTCAAACCGATATATCGACCTTATGGAAAATCGAACAGATGCATTGTGATGTGCGCGCTTCCACATCATGGTATCATTTGATTTACCTTGTTTCTTTTTCTCTTTTAATTAAGTATATGATAAATAAAAAGAATTTTACTGCACATACATTTTTAAAGATAAAATTGGTTATTCTTATTTCAACGGTGCAACGGATTTTATTTGAACTACATGATAAACGTTAGTTCAGGGTAAAAAGTATATATTACGTTTGATTGAAACCGAATTCCACAAAATTATAGGCTGGTCAATTTGAACATGCGAGGTACTGATTGGAATAACATATAACATTAATTGAATCCGTAGGGAATTTGGTTACGCTGTTCAATCCCATTATAGATGTTGTGTGATTTGATTAAGGTTACCCGACGATGGTAACAGTTTTAAACTACTCCTTTGTCGCTACTTGTTTAATACAAACGGGAAAATGTACATATGGTTACAAATTGAAATTATATTCTGGAATTCTTTTGCAAGTAATACAGTTCCATTTTATCGTATTGACAGAAATGAGATGGGCCACTGAAAGTGACCCAATGACACAGAGATGAAATGCCAAGGGTCCTGACAATTTAATCACGACTTAATTTTAATTGTAATTTTAAAATACACTTTTTCGCACAGGAAGTTCGTACGACTCTCGATAAAGTCTTCAGCTTTGCATTCTAAACAGGTTTTTATCGAGCACGATGGGGAGATAGCGTAAAGTTGGAAACCGAATGCCAAGCGTGTCGAAAAACGTGCAGCGCCTCGATCGTTCGATATCTTAACTACTATCCGCCCCCTTTTGCAACACGATCCGGGATTCGATTTAAGCGGCCGCAGAGCGTGGCGAGCAAACGTACGATCTCATCCTATTATCTGGCGACGCGGTTCTATGCAGGGATCCATGGAAATCCGGGGGTGCGGCTTTAATAATACCAAACGGTCGAGAAACGCGGAGCAAGGAAAAAAACTCTGGGAAGTTCAGCTCTCCTCTTAGGGAGAAAGGTTTCCACTGCTCCTGGCCCCATCTCCCACGAGCTGTCCGTTACCACCGGATTGGCTCCCACCTTTTTACGAGGATAAACGGACCGACGACGAAAAGAGCCGACGATTTCCCGTAAACCGATCATCACTCGGCGTCCGTTGATGTAATATAGAGTAACGTAGCCAGGCGAGAAACTTTTTTCCCCGGGAATCGGGTTCGATCCACGCCTCGCCAACGGGATCGATTCCTTCCTTTTTTCAACCGGGATCTACTGAGGAAATGGGCGGGATTAGTTTGCAGGTTTATCAAACGGGTCGCACCGGGGCGAGCAGAGGTTAAGGCGGGAATTCTATTTCGAAAGGGTCTTTCGCCTCGTTGCGGTGGAACGTTGAAATTTTTCCTTCCATTTCCTCGGAACAGAGCTTATTTTATGAGACTCGTGAAATATGATCGAATCATGTTATGCGGGAAATTAAAGAAAAAAAGAAGGAACATGTTCAAACTTGCTAGCTAATACTACCTTACTGTGTTTAGAAAAATAGGTTAGTTTTCAGTTCGTTCAATATCCAATGTAAGTAACGTACATTCAGTCACGTGATATCGAACCAATCGACGATCGATACCTTAATACCAATGTATCGTATCGATACGCGTAGCGCGCGTTTCTGTGATACTTAGGTTAGGATTTACCCGTTGCAGGCAGCTACGCGCATCACGATTCGAATCTATCTAAAATCTCCTCGATTTATTTCCGTCCCTGGAATCCGAGGTCTCGAGTTCCTTTCGCGTGTCGTTTGCCAGTCGAATGGCCAAAGGAGACGCGCAGCAAATAACCTAGACGTTGTAGAGATTCTGAACACCAAGTTTCGATCGGCGATTTTGCTCTGAACGTCGTGATATAACCGCGACCGCTTCGGCAGGCTTTATCGTACGATAGCAGGACAGTATCCTTCCATTCCCGTGCCCGCCTCTACCGTGTCTCGGGCATCGAATCGTGGCACGTACGCGGGCATAAATCTGACAGTCGTGGAGGAATCTATGAACAAAAGTGGAGCCACTTACATGCGCGTAAAGTAAAATTTATGGTAGGTGTGGGAATATAAATGCGCGACGTATCATAAATTTCACTCCCGGACGCGGTTAAAGCGAGGCAGTGAACGGGAGGCGTAGAACGAGAGAGAAACGGAGGGAGAGGGGGAATAAAACGGTTCCTCTTCAGCCTCGAAGGTACTAACGATATTGTTTGGGGCATTCGCGGGCACCAGGTTCGTCCTCCTCAAATTCTCAAGAGGGAACAACAATTTATTTTGTCCGGGCTACGGAAATACCCGAAGGACCGGTCGCAAATCACTGCCTGTGCGCCTTGCTTCACGATGGAATTTCTCTGTCTCTCTCGCGCGTCCAACCGCCCAGCTATTCCGCCTCTCTGTCTAATCTGTCTCGCTCGTTCCGCATTCCTTTTTCACTTGTTCGACGTTTTTCGCCCTTTCCACGGGCTTCTTGCTATTTTCGAGCTGGTAAATCGAGGTCGGATATTATTTCCGGCTATTAATCGGCTCGTCACGCCGCTGCGGGAATCGAAGGGACATGGAAATCACATTTTTAATATTTCCCTCAACGGATATTGTGTGGCGGGCTCGCGTCGAGTCTGCTATTAAACTGACGAGTGAATCGCGGAATTAGCAGAATTGAAGATCGACCACGATCGTCGCACCAGCCAGCGTTAAAACCGTTTTACAGTAGAATAAGTCCTCTTCCTGTCGGTCTATAATACCTAATACATGTCTATTTATTTAAAATACATATTTCATCAATTACAGGAGGCCCGCTAACCAAGTTGCTGTATGTGCAGTGGTCAGACAAACAGGAACATAGAAGCGATATTGTAACAGTAGACTGCGCATACTTGAGTTTTTGTAAAATACAATAAATACAATAAATAATTGAGTTTTTGATAACTAATTGCAATTCTTCATTTTTCCTGATGTTCAAGTCCTTTTCTTAATTCCAGTGGTGAGCTGAAAGTTCTATCCGTAATTTACGCAAAGAGAATATTAATTATTGAATTTCCGAAAAATGCTACAAACACATTCTAATTAATCTACTTAATGTAACGGTTAATTCAATGCAAAATTAATATATTAATCTGTTTTATTAAATCAAAGCATACGATAATTTTGTTTCAGAGTTCCAATAATTATAAACAGCCATCTAAATTGTTATTTAACAAAACACACTAATTATTCTCTAATTAAAGTACTTGAAAATAAGCCAGAAACTGTATTTTACTGTCTGCATTATTAGTAATGTTAAAACAATTAAAAATTCATTATAAATATCAATTAAATATAACAAGGATGACGCCAGAGCAATAGTGAAGAGAGACAAGGAAAAGAATAGCGGTAGACAAGGATAGCATCAGAGAAACGAGTTAGATAAGGATAGCACTGGTGTAATGTGTTAGACAAGGAAAGATATAGTGTTAGACAAGGACAGAAAAATTGGCGGGAAAGACTAACGCCATCTAGCGTCCGGTGACGAGAACTACGATTTCTTAATAGGATAACAGCATATAAACAGAGGTATTAGACAAGGATAGCACCAGTGTGCGACAAGGATAGAGAGAAAACGCTTCCTATTGGTCAGCGGGCCGCCGAGCTCCGCGTATCGGGCCCCAGATTAAGTCGATCGATGAAAAATCATTAATAACTCAATAATTAGGATGATTTTGTGAACTTTTAGGACTGAAGAATGAAGCATGGACCTTCAGCAACTTTCACGTATAGTTTTTAATGCTCTAAACCATTCCAATAATTAGTTATTAACAATTTTAGTACGTGATGTCGGGAACGATACCGCATACCGTCAAGCATCTTCACGGTTTTTCAATAATTTCACAGCTTTCTCCTAAATTCTCGTGTAAGTAACTATATGTATCTGAAAGGTAACTCCTTTGGCTAGATTCTCATATAAGTTTTATTAACATATTCGGTTTAGTTTAGAAGTTATTAAATATTTTATGGGAGCGTCCCTTGTTCATCGTACTCGAGTATACCCAACTGTTGTAAACAATTGGTAATATCTAATAAACCACACCACTGATGGTTACCAAACTAATTGAAGAATATAGATAAAAGTCCGTTCTACATTCTGCATGCCTTAAAGTGTATAATTAGTCACTCATTTCTATTGAAATAACGAAAATATGTTACCATTGAATGCGACTTGTATAATCGAGTGTAACATGTTCACGGTTTTTCAATAATTTCGTAGTTTTCCACTAAATTCGCGTGCAACTAGCTATACGCATCTGAAAGGCAACTCCTTTGGCTAAATTCTCGTCTAATTTTTATTAATATATTCGCTTTAGTTTAGGAGTTATTAAAGATTATATGGGAGCGTCACCTATTCATCGTACTCGAGTATACCCAACTGCTGCAAACAA